CCAGAATGCCATTCACCGATTTCCTTGCGCAGAACATCAAATAAATGTCTTGTTCACTATCTCTATACACAAGACTATCGTCTTTCGACGACATTTGCAGATTACATGCAGATACGGGACCAATTTTCTCACTCACAACCAACAGGGCCGATGCCGGCGGCGGGTTTTCTGCGACACGAGCTCTCTAACGTTATCGCGTTATAAGTCGGAAGTTTAGCACACCTACTATCGTCTGTATTTCCCTTCGTCCCTGGCTTCTTCTTCTTCTTCACGCTAAAACAGAGCTGCGTAATAACCTTACGATTTCATCGTGCACCAACTAGTCCCAGCGCAGTACTTGTTGGCTGTCCAGAAGGCCCACGAAAGGGTGGAGAGGCATGGCTTTCCGTATATGACACGGGATAAGTCAGCGGGGAGCCAAGGGTCCCAGCGGGTCCTTCTCGGGTAGTCCCTCAGAACCCGATGAAAGTTTTTGTCTTTCTGTGTGTCTATCCGTCTGCCTGCCTGCCTGTCAAGCGGTGACGTCACCTTAACATAACAAGTCACTGAAACCGGTGTCGTCATCCGATGATATTTCAGGACACCGCTGCTTTGTCTAAGGTGGGCACTCCAAAAGCACGTTCGGTAGAAAAAGCTTTCAGATAGTTGCTGGAGAGGTTGACTACATCGACTTAATAGAAAAAAAAGAAGCAGAAGATGGCTTTTTTCTTACTTGTTGGATGGATGCACAAGGGACGCCTCTGGGGGGTTCTTTTAGACACGCTAAAGGTATAAGTAAAATTATTAGAATTGGCTGTTGTCCCCTTTGGAAAAAACTCCTACGTGGTAGGAAAGCTGCAACAATTCACTCATAATTCGGTCGACTTTCTGATAATGTGGGCCCCGCTGGCTTATCGAAATCGCTTTTATCGCCGAGGGCCCTATTCAAGCGGCAAACACATCGGTGTGCGCAAACTCACCTGTATGTGCGTTTTTAATGTTCAAAGGAACAGCGCTTGACATGCTTCAATGTCACAAATCTACCTTCTGCAAAAGCGGCTACATAAATGGCATTGCAGTTAGGACAAAGACAACGTAAGACCAATTTCAACTGAGCAACTCGAAAGTATTGATTGACGTTTCAACTGCATAAACATCAAGGCTCATCCTGAATATTTGGAGACTATGTCTTCGCTCCGTTGCCGTTTGTTAGACAACAATATTGACTACTTTTCGCGGGATTGTGAACATTTCATATGTATGTGTGCGGTCAAAAAATGACACGGATAAAAGTTTGCAACAGAGTGGGGAATAAGACAACGAGTGAAGAAAGCGGCGTGAAAAGGTTCGACTGGTTTCAAAATTAAATCGCTGGATCAGTGAACTGATAGAAATAAACGAGCCCTCGCCATGATGGCATCACGCGACGGCAGCATGTTCGACGAAAACGAAAATGCAGAGGCCGGTGTAATGAGATTTTGTACGCGAAGGAACAACGGGCGGTCGAAATTTCCAGAGCCCTCCACTGCGGTGCCTCTCGTAATGGTGCCGTAGTTTAGGGACGTGAAACCCCACAAGTTATCATTATTATCATCGACACAATAGATTCATGTTTCTTGAGTGTAGCTAAGACCATGTGCTTAACCGCGTAAACATGTAAAGGTTTCTGTGACTACCAACAAAACCACGCAATAAGTAGGCATGACGTGGTTCAGTGTGCACTCTACTTGCGTGTGATAGCTTTATCTTAGTTTTAAGTGTGAATGCACTTGATAAGCGACCCTGAATCCGCCGTCCACGGTGCGCCTTCTCTTATCCCCTAGCAACGGCGCGAGGAGCGGAGAGGAGCGTCTGTAGCAACGGCGCAGTGACGTCACACACCACGTGATCGCGCACGCTCCACCCTCCGCTCCGCTCCCGCACCGCTCTCACTTCGCCGCTCAGAGACGACTCGCCGTACGCCTCCGTCTACACCATTGCCTACTTCGTCGATGCCGTCCTGGTTGTGACCGTCTACCAGGCCCCGAACCTCTTGTGAGATGCCGTCTTGGAGCAGATGGATGCAGCGATGGAGAGTGTGTCTGTGCGCGCTTCCCTCGGTTCCGGTTGTGGTGGTGGGTGACTTTAACGTGGACGTTAGAAAAAACAATGGCTGGTTGGTTGACCACATGATGAACAATTTCTTGATGACATGTCTGTCTCTCGAGTTTCGAACCACGATCCATGGTGGCTTCATAGACTTGGCGTTCAGTGGGAGCTGTACGGTACGTGCCGTCTTGCCGGATCCGCTCACCATACATTTCTCCGATCATAAAGCGTTGATAGTAACTGTGAGCTATAATAATAACACCGATAGGTGCTGATCTGTAGTGACATGTGTTGTGTGTGTGTGTGTGTGACGTGCTTGCGATGTGTGAATTTAATGCATCGTACGAAATTGCGAAGTGTAAATAAATAATACTTCGTGTATAAATGTGTGTGTAAAAAGTGCATCATGACAAACACTTAAATTCATTGATTACACTTTTATCATCATAATCAGTGATAAAACTCCCAAGCCTTTCCCCGAGGGTGAACATAATTAAGTGCGAATGCACGGGGTGATGCTATGAGGGGGAGTAAAGTTAAAATCCGTTGGCATTCGCCAGTGAGTTAACGTAAACTCCCCCGTGTGATCACATTGCGATTCCCAAGAACCATTAGACAGTAAGGTTCCATAGTGTGAAATAATAAAAGATTATAATTAATACATAATATATATACTGTGATATAAATAAGGAAATGAATCAATGTAACATATAGTACGAATTACAAATACAATACACATATCCTGCGATAAAAAAACACTTCAACATCATTATAGTGCAGATTTACTCTCACATATGCGCGTAAACTCACCAAGATTTCCCGAGAGCGTCTAATGGTTCCTGGGAATTGCAATGTGATCACACGGGGGAGTTTACGTTAACTCACTGGCGTATTCCAACGGATTTTAACTTTACTCCCCCTCATAGCATCACCCCGTGCATTCGCGCTTAACCATGTTCACCCTCGGGGAAATGCTTGGGAATTTTTAAAACATTTGAAATAAAAGTATATGGTATACATGACTACTTGTATCTAAAAATAACACAAATCACTTTTTCATAATTGACGTTGCTCTGCAATTCTTCCCGCAATGTGTAAAAATTTATACCGCATTCGTATCTTTCAATCCTATATATGCGTTTCTGATCACTGCGCAGGTAGAGTATATTTGGTAATCTCAATTTCAATGGAGTGCGTCATGAATCTGTGCATGTAAAATGCATTTTAAGTACTTACACGAATAGTCAACTGTATAACGGTGACTCTGTGACCATGTCAAAAGTGTTCACCTTTTGTGTTAACCCTGCTTGGAATATGTCAGTTGTTCCTGTATGATATATTAGTGTAACGCAAACACAGTCAAACATTGATTTTTTCCATTACGAATTTCGAATTATATTGATTTTCTTGCTTTAAATCCATGGCATTTATTCCAATATGTATAAAGTTGACGTAGTTTCAATAGAAATTTTTTAGCATAACTTACGTGCGTGTTCTTCATTTTGAATTTTCAAGGCATGTAAGCCCCCAAAACTTCGCATCATACCCACTTTATTGTAGCCGGAGTTAGTCATTCCTAAAAAGAATGTTAGCGTCAAAACGGACTTAATCACTGCGTGAAACGTCACTTCTGACATAATTTTTAGTAAATACGTGTTAGGTGTATGAAGTACCAATACATTTTTGCTTGCTGACAAGAAACTCAAGTCCATGCAGCGTCTGATACAAGAGCAATGTTCATGCTTTTAACTGTTGCACCGAAAATATTTGCATGAATAAATGCGTAGAATATCATATATTTCCCAAACTTAAAGGGGCCATGGATAAGGTCTGTAAGTAGCAAAATTAGCACGTAGTTCTCTTTTGGCTGAATTCGTAGCGTTAAATGTCGGTTGGCGCCACGTGATGAGGAGGACATGCCGTCCAATAAATTCACACACAAGTCACGAATCGTCTCCTAACCTGCATACTTTGCCATGCAGTCGCACGTCCATAGTGTCACTTCTCGCTTGACTATCAGGCCCAATCAGCGAATTTTATTTCATCTTGTTCGTTCTCACTGTACACTGTTGCGGCGGCTGTATTCTCAATGGAAGCGAGAATGCTGTAGGCCCGTGTGCTCAGATTTAGAGAACCCCAGGTGCTCGAAATTTTCGGAGCCCTCCACTACGGCGTCTCTCATATTCATATGGCGATTTCGGGACGTTAAACCTAATTAATAGATCGATCAATCGTTCGATCAATCGATCAATCAACCAATCAATCAATCAGTTAATCAATCAATCAATTAATCAAATCAATCTTCCTCACGATACAAGTGGAGATACCAGTATGTAGCCGAAATGCGAAAAATGTTTTCACGCTCAACGCCGACATTATCCAGGGGTTCATAAAAAAAAAGCGGCATATTCCACTTACCTTGGGAGTCGATGTCATGTGAAGCGTGCGCATGCAAGGTTACTGGGCTGTAATTTTTTATTGAGCGGAACGTTACAAAGTTGCACTTAAGATGAATACAAATGCTCGCACACACACACGTTAAACAGCCGCATAAGTCTCACATGACGAGTTCTTGCTTAAAGTTGCGCAACATAAACATGCGTGTTAGCAACAGCAAACGCGGTAAGCTGATACAAAGCGCAGCTGCTTGCGCGGACCGTAGCTCTGGACACTGCTACATAAATAAACGTGAGCGAATGACCCCTGACTTCAACTGATGTTAATCCGACGGGACGGCTGTGTCATCGGAGTACATGTGTAATGTTTATAAAATTGTAACGCCAGGATTGCAACTACAGTTGACGTCTCAGATAGATAGGTAGATAGGTAGATAGATAGATAGATAGATGATAGAGCGATCGATCGATAGATAGATATATAGATAGATAGATAGACAGATAGATAGATAGATAGATAGATAGATAGATAGATAGATAGATAGATAGATAGATAGATAGATAGATGCTCAAAGTGCTTGCCGTACGCAATGAAATGCTTCGCATGTAACAACTTGCGAGGAGGAGATGGCGCTTGTATGCAGGGTAGTGAAGGTGATAAAGAAACAACCTAAAGTCACAGCGTTTTAGAAGTTCTTTAAGACATTTTCCACCGCTGAAATATCAGATTTAAATGCCCCTGTGCCTGACTTGGAAACAGTGCAGAGAACACTGTGTAGGCGTTGTGAATTCGTAGAATTTTTTAACATACATGACCTGTCAAGACAACCTATATTAGGGAGTCTTCGAACAGGGACCCCAAAAGTTTAGGGCCCCGAAGTAATAGCGTCAATGCTACTGCACATGTGCAAAACCCGAACCACGTCTGGCTTTTTGGTTGGGGACACTATTTCCCAAATTTAGCGGGGGCTCCAAAGCCTGCCCCAAAAGTTTTGGTTAAGACAAACCTAACGGCACCCACTGAAGTGACATGACCAAGAATTGGGTGAGCATCCAAATCACAGCAGACCCTATTCGAAAGCTCTTCGCTCTTGCTTGACACAAAGCGTGCATGCGCAAAGGGCTTTGTGGCCCCAGACTTTTGTGGCCCCTATTCAAGAACTCCCGATCATGCAACATGTGACGCGTGTGCGACCGAAATGAGGAACTTCAGTTGACGGCCCCCTTCTAGCCTCTCTTGGGTTTTCTTTTCGAGAATCGTCCTCCATACATTTTTAAACGCTTCTTTTTCCGAATGTGGAACCACTTCTTCCGATCCGAAGATAGCGAAGAAGAAATCTGCAAGCGGAAAAAGATGTGTTAACTATGCGACATGGGAAATACATTATATATATATATATATATATATATATATATATATATATATATATATATATATATATATATATATATATATATATATATATATATATATATATATATATATATATATATATATATATATATATATATATATATATATATATATGAGGTCTAACAGACAGTAATACCAAGGAAACTTATTTGCCGTGGGAAAGTCGCTGGCTCGGTTCCTGACCATGGCAAGTTAGCTTTTCACCCACTTTTTCTTTCTTGTCATTTACATTACAATTCAGCCTAATAACTTCCCCTGTACTTTACTTGGCATTATTGTCTGTTAGATATCATTATTACAGTGTGAAAACACGTCAAAAACGAGCCTTATGTGTACACTTCTTTCCATAATATACACATCGTCAAGTAGATCCTCCGTGATCTTACCAGTCACAGGTAAGATCCTCCTTGAGCCACCACGTTGTGAGTGCTTACGGAGGATCTCCTTGACTACTTTTAACGCTACGGCCACTCCACCACACACAAACACACACACACACACACACACACATATATATATATATATATATATATATATATATATATATATATATATATATATATATATATATATATATATATATATATAAGGGATTATAGGAAGTATCACGCAGGCTCTGATAGTATAGAAAAAGGAGTAATTCACACACAACGAACGTTTCAGCACAGTTTAGTCCGACGTTTCGACCGTGGGACCGGTCTTCGTCTGGGAATACAGGGCATAAAATTCGCGCGCTTATATATGTCTATATTCGAGACCCCCCCAAAAAAACACACATGCTCTTGTGTAACGAACAAGGCTCATCTGTATCAGCACAAAAACGGTTTTCAGTGATCAAAAATATATATCTATACAGCACTGTGTGATGTCACCATTTGTAAGTCATTGGCAGCTGATACGGCTTTGCGGGATACACGTGTGCATCGCGACATTACGGATGTCAAAGCTCTTTTCTTACAATAATGGTTCGCGTGTAAGATATACGCGTTGCCGATGATAAATAATTCTATTATATAAGAATCGCTGTTTCTGTATACATTATCAGCACAGCGCACTCTCTGATAAAGAAGCAGACTAGCGTACACTTGTTATATTGTTGACCAATAAGCTTACGTGGAAGGAAGACACGTCAATGTGCCTGCATCCTCATTGATACCATCTGCTACAGTATTGAACTTGAATATCAGGTATGATTCCCGGAGTTCACGATCATGGTTTGAGCGGAAACCAGATTCAAGAATGGTCGCTTTCATTTGATCGAAAGAGTGGCCCGGCATGCGAACGTGTCGTGATAGCGGTAGATGAGGGAATATATTTACATGGGATTTGTGGTTATTAAAGCGTATTCTGAATGGAGTTTCAGTATGACCAATATATTGTTTCAAACAGGCACTACATTCCAACATGTATACGGCATTATAAGTGTCGCAGTCGAAGCTACCACGAATCTTTAATTTAAAGTCCGAAGACGTGCTCGCGGCGTTTTGCGTGGTTTGCATGTGCGCACACACTTTGCACCGTGTGTGTGCAAAGTGTGCAAAGTGTGTGCGCACATGCAAACCACGCAAAACGCCGCGAGCACGTCTTCGGACTTTAAATTAAAGATTCGTGGTAGCTTCGACTGCGACACTTATAATGCCGTATACATGTTGGAATGTAGTGCCTGTTTGAAACAATATATTGGTCATACTGAAACTCCATTCAGAATACGCTTTAATAACCACAAATCCCATGTAAATATATTCCCTCATCTACCGCTATCACGACACGTTCGCATGCCGGGCCACTCTTTCGATCAAATGAAAGCGACCATTCTTGAATCTGGTTTCCGCTCAAACCATGATCGTGAACTCCGGGAATCATACCTGATATTCAAGTTCAATACTGTAGCAGATGGTATCAATGAGGATGCAGGCACATTGACGTGTCTTCCTTCCACGTAAGCTTATTGGTCAACAATATAACAAGTGTACGCTAGTCTGCTTCTTTATCAGAGAGTGCGCTGTGCTGATAATGTATACAGAAACAGCGATTCTTATATATATATAATAGAATTATTTATCATCGGCAACGCGTATATCTTACACGCGAACCATTATTGTAAGAAAAGAGCTTTGACATCCGTAATGTCGCGATGCACACGTGTATCCCGCAAAGCCGTATCAGCTGCCAATGACTTACAAATGGTGACATCACACAGTGCTGTATAGATATATATTTTTGATCACTGAAAACCGTTTTTGTGCTGATACAGATGAGCCTTGTTCGTTACACAAGAGCATGTGTGTTTTTTTGGGGGGGTCTCGAATATAGACATATATAAGCGCGCGAATTTTATGCCCTGTATTCCCAGACGAAGACCGGTCCCACGGTCGAAACGTCGGACTAAACTGTGCTGAAACGTTCGTTGTGTGTGAATTACTCCTTTTTCTATATATATATATATATATATATATATATATATATATATATATAAATATATATATATATATATATATATATATATATATATATATATATATATATATATATATATATATATATATATATATATATATATATATATAAGCCAAACATCTTAAAGGCTCCGATTTCAGCATTTCAGAAGATTACTCTTTTAGAGTGCGATCTATCCGCAAGAAGTTATGGGACGCGACCTCCACTTTCCGCAATAATGGTTCCTCAGTTAAAATAGTGTATGACCATGTATTTATCGACAACGTTCGCTACAACTGGAACGACGCATCGAATGTTCTAGTTGTGGCCTCTGGTTACCATAGCCGTGCTACAAATAAACCTGGGACTTCCCCGAAAGTTCCTTCACAGGGCTTATCGCCGCCCCAGAATACTTCCGGTAGTTCTAGTGCGCCGCTCGTCCGTGGAACTCAGCGTTGACTACCCCGTAGCTCTGCACCCAAACTAACTATTATTAACCTTAACGCAAGAAGCATAACATGCAAATTCCCCGACTTCCTTTCTCTCGTTTCGACATATTCCCCACACATCATTGGTATAACTGAAACGTGGCTCCACGAGGCTATATATGACTTTGAATTTACACCACCCGGATATGTCGTGGTTCGTGTCGATCGACGAATCGGCCGAGGCGGCGGTGTAGCCTTGCTCTTTCGGTCGGACTTACGGTTCTCAGTCCTGCCTAGTCCTTCTGGCATGGAATCAATATGGTGCAAACTTCACATTGACAAACTTCAGATCGTAATTGGTGTCATATACCGCCCCCCGGATTCCTGCCTTGATATGTTTCACACTCTTAACGAGTTCGCAAACGCGCACAACTTCGGCACCAAGCATCTTGTTCTTATGGGGGATTTTAACGCCCCTGGAGTTGACTGGTCTTCCTTGACTCACAGCGGCCGCGACTCCCATATTTGTGGTGAGCTTATAAATTTTTCGTTATCCTTCGGGCTTACCCAGATCGTAACTGGCTACACCCGGCATAATGCACTCCTTGACTTGGTATTTGTAAGTTCAAATATGTTACATAACGTGTGTAAATGCGAGATTATCGACGGTATCTCGGATCACAAGGCAGTCCTAGTTTCCTTGCAGTGTTCGATTGCGAAACGGCAATTCGTGGTCACTTCCTTTCACGATTTTAACCGCGCTGATGACGTTTCCGTCCTCGACTGTTTAGCCGATAAATTTGAGCAATTTTTAGCACTCGCCACACGCAACGATGTTGATGCTTTAGTTGGTTTCTTTGAACAGTTGGTGAAAACTTGCACTCTGGAATTTGTACCGATCAAAACAAAAAAGAAAAATACTAATGTTCCCTGGATGAACCGTGAAATCTTGCATCTTTCACGTCGGATACGTAGGATGAGGCAGGCGAGGTCACGCTGTTCCTCTTATGATCACTGTAGATTTCTACAGGCAAAGGAAGAACTCCGGGTCAAAATAAACGCCGCAAAAAACCATTTTTTTCGGATAGAACCACCGAGCCTGTTATCCAATAACCCACGCAAGTTTTGGTCATCAGTATTGCCCCGCGATGCCGCATCAGCGTCATTTTCCATTGGCGATGAAACAACCAATGATCCTGCGGAAATTTCCGAAGCTTTCAATAGTTTTTTTGAGTCTGTTTTCACTCGCGACGACCTTGAAGTTCCTCTTTTTCATAGTACAAGCTCATTCTTATCAATACCGGACATTATTATTTGCGAAGAGGGGGTTCTCAACCTAATATTAAACTTAAACACTAAGAAATGCAAAGGTCCGGACGACATTCCCAATGCGTTCTTGGTCCGTTATTCCGATTGGGCTTCCAAATATCTTACTGTCATATTTCAGAAATCCCTTGAAACTGGCATAGTGCCTAGCTCATGGAAACTGGCAAAAGTAATTGCGTTATTTAAGTCTGGAGAAAAGCATATAATTACTAACTATAGACCAATATCACTGACTTCCTACTCTTGTAAACTACTAGAGCATATAATTTATAAACACATCATGGAGCATTTAGAACAACACAACCTATTATCTCAGTTTCAGCATGGATTCAGGAGTGGTTTCAGCACGGTTACGCAATTAACAGAATTCGTTCACGACATTTCTTGTTCACTTGATTCCGGAGAGCAGGTCGACGCCATTTTCATCGATTTTTCCAAAGCATTCGACACGGTATCTCACACTAAACTGATATGCAAACTAACTGCCATATTAAACAACCCTGCCTTGGTCAAGTGGATAGAAAACTTTCTTTCAGATCGCGCGCAATTCGTAGAATTTAATGGTTCCATATCCAGTAAATCTAACGTAACTTCTGGAGTTTGCCAGGGCTCGGTCCTTGGACCACTGCTATTTCTGATTTACATAAACGACCTGCCTGGCAACATCAATTCTAAAATCCGTTTTTATGCGGACGATTGCGTACTATATGACACCATTAGCACACCGCAATGTCACCAAAAACTAAACGAGTCGTTTTCTAGGTTTTGCGCGAGGTGTAAAACGTGGCAGATGTCCGTAAATTTCCGCAAAACAGTATCCATGTCCTTTACTCACAAACGTTCCCTGTCTAATTTCACGTACTCATCCGCTGACATAAACCTCCAAAGAGTTACAGAATATAAGTATCTTGGCATTATTTTCACAAGTAACCTATCCTGGTCAAAACACATCGAATATGTATGCACAAAGTCACTTAAGAAACTGGGTTATCTTCGACGCACACTCAGCCAAGCACCGAAAGACACCAAACTCCTGATGTATAAAACACTAATCCGACCGACACTCGACTACGCATGCTCCGTGTGGAACCCTTACCGAAAAGGCGAAATTAACAAAATTGAAGCCGTTCAAAAGAAAGCCATCCGATTCATCTGTCGCAGGTATGACTGCGCTTTTTCACCAACCACAGCCCTCGTATCTCTAGAGCTAACCACCTTAGCTGCCCGTCGTGAAATTGAATCACTAACCTTTTTTCACCGCATCATTCACTGTTCATATCGCCTATCATCAAACAAATATGTCACATATGCAAGCCCCACTCAGACCAGAAGCAATCACAACCTTAACGTTTCCCCGTATCATCCCCGCACAGACACGTTCAAATATAGCTTTTTTCCGCGAACAATTGAGCGTTGGAATTTGTTGCCTGGCCACGTGCGCTCTCTTGACTTGCTTACATTTGCTTCTAAAATACAACTATTGTAAACTACGTACATATACCGCTTTGTTTCCTTTCCCCCTTTGTACGAGTGCACTTTTGTACTTAGATGTGTGTATTAGGTCGATTTTATGTAACCCTTTACCATGCCGCTAAAACTGTACACTTCCTTCTATGTTGACTTTCGAATACCTGGTTTCGTCGTTACTATGTTTTCTTTCTTTCTTTTTGCTTTTGTTTCATTATTGAACTTGTTCGATGCACGGTTTTGTGCGATGTACCCACTCCTGCTATAGCCCCAAGAGGGGCTGCAGTATGTTAAAATAAATAAAAAAAAATAAAAATATATATATATATATATAGTGAGAGTAATAATAGTCTTCGTTAATGTATGGGATATGGCACAACGGGAGCGTTGTCATTTATTTCCCACCAGTATATATATATATATATATATATATATATATATATATATATATATATATATATATATATATATATATATATATATATATATATATATATATATATATATATATATATATATATATATATATATATATATATATATATATATATATATGAACGACTGCGCCAGTTTATTAAGCGGGACAGACACGACACCCATTCGTCGGGCAAGCTGTTCTATTCTGCCTCTTCTTCCTCGCTTTCCAACCCATGGGCCACAGCTGCCGCGCCGCTTTTCGTTACAATATATATATATATATATATATCACAAAGTCTTCAAGTACTCGAAGAAAATCATGCGCACACTTACGAATAATGGTGTCGATGTCTGGAAAAGTCCACTCATTTTCGTACACCTCGCATCTGACGCAATGCAAACCGGCTTGTGTGAGAAACGTGGTGGTTTCATCTTCAATTTGACGGAATGGTGCAACACAGTTGAAGCGGAAGTACGATGAGAATATCTCTTTTGGGTCCTGGAAATTCAATGAATTGCATGTGAGATGTTCAGCTCTAGTGCAATAGAATCTACGTATTTCTTGCGGTGTAGTAATAGATCAAATATTGTTAATAATGATCGTCTAGAGTAGGAGTTCTCAAGCATGTTGTTACCAGGGAACCAAGCCTCCATTCGCTTTTATGCAAGCATTTATTTCATTCGGCTACCGTTATACATTCATGTGCAATGAACTTGAGAACAAGGCATATTAGAATTTCCTCCTTGACATGCAACAGAAGCTCGTTTCTTGGCAGCAACAAAACCTTGTGAGCCTCAGTAACAGCTGGCAGTCGGCCGCTGGATTCAGAGGATTGATGTGCTTATTTTTAATGTAGTCTAGGGCCGAGAACGCCTGTTTCCAAGCAGAGGTAATTGCGGATTGCTACAGCATGTCTACTGTCTTATCTTCCGCACCTATTTTCAAACAGAATAAATCGCGTTACAATAATATAAGTCCTTTGAAATTAGAGTGTGGTAGCTTAATCGCGCGCCACGTTTTTGGAGTGTGGCTACGAACTGGTGGCGCGATATACTGTGCAGTTTGAGCATGTTTTTGAACGCTCGTTTGCGACGAATTCCGGTTAGAAGCGGAAAGACATCATTCTGTGCGAGGCCTACAAACCGAGAAAAATACAAATAAAATAATATTAACAATTTCCGGCCCCGAGTGATGATGGAACCGAGACCATGTGCGTGACAAGCAAGCGTTCTACTACACAACCAGGCATCCTCCTGTAAAAAGTTAAATTTATTTACTTTGCCTAAAAATGCAGCAAAAATAACATACATGCTTTACAAACACACGCGTTTTGTATTCAGCCTTTGCACTACAACATCGAATATCACAGTAATATTGTGTGGAACAAGAGTATAAAACAAGATTTTAGAAGATGTCTACATCTTCTACACTCTTATGGCAAAATACTTTTGTTCAAGCTGAACTTGCCGCTCAAATTAATTTTGGAGGATGGGCTGAGAATCGGGTGGCTTAGATAAAAATATTTAAACACTAAATAAGAGAGTAATTTCTTGTTTTGTAAAACTAAAATACTTTTACAAAATTATTAGCCTAAATAAAGCGTCTGGACATGTGAATATCATAATGAACTCACTGTCTAAAGCCGGCCGCTCATCACAAAAGCCACACACGTGACTGTGCGTATTCTTTTAGGCCCAGGTTGCGGGTCCGTAGCACGTTCGAAAGCATTTAACGTCCATAGTTTCTTGCGCTATTGCATGCTATCAATTACAAAGAATGTAGGGATATCCATAAGCAACGCTTACACAAGCCACTTTTTATTGATTATTGATAAGCAACGCTTACACAAGCCACAAGCCACTCAAATTTATTGATTGCATTGTAGTATTAATCCCATGCATTGTAGTAGTATCCCGAGTGCCGTCACACCATATAAAGAAGGTAGCACTAAACATTTGAAGCATATATATATATATATATATATATATATATATATATATATATATATATATATATATATATATATATAACCATCTAGGTAACCAACTGAGAGGGTAATCAGGAACAAACGCCAGGCCTCGGCGCAAAGCAAAAGCTAGAAGAGCGGCCTTTCAGAGCCTCGACAAAACACTAATTGGGTAACCACTGCAAGCACAATTGCTTAATACACCCAATAATAAACTTTTGGGTAGTAGGCTGGCATTCGCTATTTTTTTGTCATTCTTCTGAGAAGCACGGTATCCGCTAAACACTTGCAATGAATTTTGTGCCAATTGTTCATGCAGTAGCTGACGACGATGTGGAACTGTGGTTGTAGTGGGTATGCGCCACAAATAATAGAAGAACAAGAACAAGTTTTTGTAATGGGTTGGAGCATTGGATGGCCCACTCATTACGCTGATCGCATTGTGCGACGACTGCTTGTTCTTTCACTGTTTTAAAATGCTTCATAGGTCGTACTAACGCGATTGCTTTCCCGACATCAAGCCTGCCTGAGGCAAGTTTGCGAACAAGTCACAAGTACCAGCGTTGCTCAGTGGTAAAATACCGGGCAGGTACCCAGCAGATCCGGGTTTTCAGCCGCACTGTGTCTTTGCGTTAAGCTTTTTTTTTTCTAGTGTCGCACGATCTGGTTACCGACACTGGCGGTGGCGGACAACTGCGCATGACCCGAGTTGTGATCTTATAACAGCTTTCGCTGTAAAACATATTAGTGGCTCGTGGAACACACTCAAAGAAACAGTAATTTAGAGTAGGAAGCGTACCGCACTAGACAATAGAAGTACCGGCGACCTCCATCTATTTACATGGGTGTGTGGCAGTCGCACACCCGCGCTCGTGTTCTTTGGTGTATTGATTGAATTAACTTCATGTTGCAACAAAAAATGGGGTTTAACACCCCCCCCCCCCCTGAATTTTGTTCGAGGCGGATCTCGTGAGCCACGCAGAAGGAAGCGCATGAGTTAAACGAATCCGTCAGCTTCCCCTACGATCCGATCAGCTGACAAGAAAGCCGTCGGCTATTTCAATGCATTATTTAATATAATAGCCACTGATTATCTTCATAGTAGAATGGTTGTTGTCTTGAATAAACTTATCCCCCAATATCATATGTACTCATTATACTCTTACGTTGAACCAGAATCATCGTTTTCGTATCATTCTTACTTTTTAGAAGAATTTTCTGAATAGTCAGGAAAACCGGTAGAAAGTACTCGGCCGAGAGTACTTCGAAGAGGAGCAAGACGATACCTCGTTTCTTGGGTTCCTATATTAGGCCGCTGATCATTAGACTGCTAAATCACCTATCGAACACCACCACGCAATCACGTAATCCTCATCACAAATTGCATTCATGAACATCTACATCTTAGTGGTACATGTAGAATCGCTCCGTTTGTTTTTTCTGCTTAAAGTCATAATTTACAATGCGTAAATCTGGGCATGAGATACAATCCTTAGAGCTTTGAACAGTGGTTGTCGTCACGCATTAGTAAACTGAATCATCCAGACAGGAATGCTGCTGGCTCATTCGATAACATTAATTTCTTATTGACTAACGCTTTTGTTGAGTAAGCAACTTTTCACCATATTGACACCGGTGTGAAGCGAATGTCGAGTTAATTTTAACGGAATATGCTATTACACTGCATGGCATCGAGCAGTGATAACATTAGCAATTGATAAAAGAGAGATGTTACCTAAAATTCTTGGCTTGGTCCCGGCTTTTAGACATCATTGGAGTGATTGTAAATATAAGTAATTACTCAGGTTGAGGTTTTCATATATAATGTTTTATATTAGCAATAACAATAGCAATAACCGGACACGTAGCACGTAGGCAGGATAACCGCTGGTCATTAAGGGTAACGAACTAGATTTCCAGAGAAGGCAAACACACGAAGGGGAGACAGAAAGTTAGGTGGGCCGATGAGATTAAAAAAATTGCCCGCAGCTTCCCTCGGGGGAACACTGAGGAGGATGCGGAGCATATAATTGGTTAACGGGGTGTTAAAGTGCGACTTACTTGGGTCGATGGCGAAATTGGTTAACGTGGTTGTGAAATGGGGTGTTAAATTGCGACTTACTTGGGTCGCTGGCTAAATTGGTTAACGTGGTTGTAGGAGGGGTGTTAAATGAGTGAACACGTACGACACGTATGCGAAAGGGCGGTGTTTATTTATTGCGACGAACTTTGAGCACGATGGCTTTTTGGTCGGTAAAGTGAAGAGTGAGTGGATCGGGTTGCAGCGGTCGTAGGTCGAACCGAGTTAAGTTGCCGATCCGAGTTAAGTTGTTATCGAACCAAAGACGATCACACACCTTGCAGGTGTGGCCGAAGCTTCGGTCGAGGAAGTCGCGCTTGAAGCGAGCGTTGGGCGTGGCATACTGCTTGGCGCGCCACGCCGCTACTTCGGCGCGCTTGCGCTCGCGGGCAGCATCGGGATCGGCCTCTCGTCGCCGACGCTTGCACTCGGCTTCCCGTTTTCGAAAGTCCGGGTCCTCTTGTCGACGCTTACGTTTCAAAGCGGCCGAATCCGGTGCTGCTGCTCGACGCTGACGTCTCTCAGCGGCTTCACGTTCTCTAAGTTGAGAATCTTCCGCTCGACGCCGACGTTTACGTTCGGCGTCGCGAGCTCTTCTCCGCGCTGCCTTGTCTTCGGACGACGACTTGGTTGCGGTTCCGCCAACACTTTGGCCGGCGCTGGTCGAAGGGACGTCGATCATTGCGACCTCGGACGTCGACGCGCCGTACAAACCAACCGACGAGCGGCAACTGAGCGAGCGAGCACCGACCTTGAGTATATATACAGCGCGACGGCGCATGCACTGTCAGCTGTCGAATGTTCGAGAAGGGGGAGAAGCGCAACGGCGCATGCGCGCGCGTCAGCTGCCGATGTTTTCGAAGCGCGACGGCGCATGCGCGCGCGTCAGCTGCCGATGTTCTCGAAGCGTGACGGCGCATGCGCGCTACATTATACAGCTAGCGAATGTTCGTGAAGAGGAGAAGCGCACGCGGTGTGTAGAGGAGGAAGGGTGCACAGATGGTGGAGGAGTGAAGCGCGCGCGGTGTGTAGAGGAGGAAGGGATGCACAGATGGTGGAAGAAGAAGGAGGAAGCTTGCGGACGGCGCCGCACTACAAGCCTCGAGTATTAGATGCTCCGCATCTAAAACTTCTCGGGTATAACTTGGCACAAGACCGGTTTGATTGGCGGATCATGGGAGAAGCCTTTGCCCTGCAGTAAGCACAGTCAGGCTATGATGATGATGATGATGATGATATTAGCAATAAACCTATTGGCATATAATTTGCGTTAGTAAGTGGACCTTCATCAGAGAAACTACAAATGAAAAAGAAGTCCATTCAGAGCTAATATTTCTTCTTAACTTTTGATTGCATGAAATAACATTACTACATGCTATGCCGTCTATTTCTTGCATCGCTTGATCTTTAAAACTTAAAGCTACGCGAAGAATTTTTTTCTTGCATAATTTT